TCAGGAGCACCTAGAGTCCTGGGAGCATTGGAGCCCACCCGGCCCCACTGCCCCTCACCGAGGATGGCATCTTTGGTGCACGTGTCAATGATCGGCTGCAGCAGGTTGTCAAACTCGTTCATGTCCAGCTGGGTCTCCTCCAGGAGCTTCTGCATCTGCTGCTCCACCGCATGGGCCACGGCTGCCGTCACCTGCTCCTGGGAGGCCAGGTGGGACCAAGACTGCCCATCAATGTCCCACCACAGCAGCAGAAGGCCCTGTCCCTCAAACCCACAGCCTCACACCCACAGCAGTCACAGCCACGGCAGGCAGAGGTTAGAGCAAGATGGGACAGAGAGAAAGACAATGTCCACCCCTACCCCAGGTGACAGATGGACTGATTAAGACCCAGAGGAACAAGGGACCTCTGCAGGCTAATTAAACACAAAAAGAAAGTGGACAGACAGCACAGAGAGGACTTATGAAAGGTCACTAGTCAGGAGAAAGGAGAGCAACCAGGGAATGGAAAATTAAAACAGGATAGACTGGCAAACTGAGAGACTGCTGAAATCTGGGACTTCTGTGGGGACAGGCAGTCCGATCAGGGCTGGCCAAGGCTGGACCACCCATCCTATGAGAAGCTCCAGCCAGAAACTGAGGGTGAGTGATCTGGCATGCTTTGTTGTCAGCAATATGACAGTCATCTTAAATATAGTAATAAGACAGGGGCTGGTGTTTCAGATGCCTTATTTTTTTTCATTCGTCTCATTTTCCATGTGATTCATCGTACTATATTTGGCAAAAAGTATTAGAACTGTAATGAATCAGGACAGAAGGGTCCTTCCCTCAACAGCTTGGAGTGACCTGGCTAGCAAGAACTGGTGCCAATGGCACCAAAGGCCACACGGTATTCTGTTACACAATTTCTAACGTGTAGTCCCACTCATAGGTGTCCACCCCAGTAAACAGCTTGGGTAATGATTTCACTGGAATGAGAAGTAACCTCTGTCCAGAGGGACTGGGCTAAACACGCCATGGGTAGTGGCAGCACTGTCCACAGCACTGATGCTTGGGAATGGGTCCTCCTGATAGCTATTTGTGAGTCCCAATGTACAGATGCAAAAACTGAGGCACAGGGGTGAGCTCCAGAGACCACCTGAGGACAAAAAGGGGAAAGGGGAGGGCCCTAGGCCTACTCAGGGCTGATGGAGTGGGAGGGAAGAGGAGGAGCAGGCCCCATACCTGTCTGAGGGCAAGCAGGTGCTGCTCCTGCTGCTGCAGGTTCCACTGGCTCTGCTGGATGAGCTCGTCCATTGACGGGGCTCCCTGGGCGGGTGGGATGGGTGCAGCAGGGGCTAACGGGGGCTGTGTGAGGGGTGGCAGCGCTGCGGCCGGCTCCAGCTCTGGGGCCTGCTGCTTGCAGATGACTGGCAGAAGAGGAGAAAAGGTGCCCCGGTGAGAAGGTGGCTGGGGTCTAGGTGTCTCCTTTGGCTGCCTCCTGGGCAGCCTTCAGCCATAGGGGCTCCCCTCTCTACACTTACCATCCACAAGAGGACTTCTGCACTGTGCTGCAGCCACACTCCCTGCCTCTGCCACACTCCCACCGAAGTCTGCCAGGCTCCACTCACGCTCAGCCTGGCTCTCCCACCCCTCTCATTCCCCCAGAGCCTAGAACCAGCCCCTTTCCCGTGTCCCATCCACCACCTTCTGCCTTTGTACCAGTCCTCTCCTTGGAGATCACAGGACTGTAACCCTGCCACTCTTTCCAACACTGTCTGTCTTGCCCAGTGTCCTCTGGCACAGACCAAGCTAGAGCCCATCCCCCCTCACCCTCCCCACCTCACCAAGGCCTATACTGAAGCTAAACCCAGGCCAAAGCTCTGCCCCCACGAGCATCTCTCTGCTACCATCCCCTAACATACTCTTTACTTTCAGGTCATCAAAGCCACCTGACGCCCAGCCAGGGAGCCCAAAATAGGAGCAGGCAGCACCCCTGAGCACATGCTGTGGCCCATCACCACGTGCCCCTTGATTTCCTTATCCTCCTGACTCTGTTTAGGGAAAGGGACTCCTCGGAGTCAATCGAGGTTGAGCCAGGGTGAGACGACCATCCTACTGGTAGGAGACTGGGTCAGGTGGGTGTGTGCCCCGAATGTGGCCAGATGAGAAGAGATAGACATTTGGGTGGTGGGATGTGGGGGGTTCTGCTGGGAAGGGTCGCTGAACAAAATGGTCTCCCCATCGGCCATTGGGTCTTGTCTGGTCTGAACATGACCACGCACTGCTGGAACCCTGCTGAGTCCCATCCCAAGGGGCCCTGGCCTTTGGACAAAGACAGGCAGACAGAACAGATGGTGCTGTCCAGGGCCCATCTCGGGACACTCAGTCACTTCTTAGATCTGGTTGAGCCTTCTGGTGTTGACACCCTCGGGGACATCCTCCTCCACCTCCCAGAGACATTTCTTCAGCAAATGTTCTCTCGCTCTCATTTCTTCATTTTCTCCCTCTTTGACTCCTTCCCAGCAGCCCCAAAATATACCTGTCTCCGTCTTAAAAAACTTTCCCTTAATCGCATGCCCCTCATCTCAACAATTTTACAGCCAAGATTCCATTTCAGTTCCTCTCTCCTTTATCTTATTTGCCCAGGGAAAGTCTGGCTCTGTTCACCCATCCCAACCCCTATCCCCACAGCCCTTGGGAACATCCTTATTCAGCCTGATGGCCCTGTCACAGGTCCCTGTCTCACTCAGTCTGTGTGGCCCCTTCCACTTTCTCTCTGACCCTTAATTGCTGGGATGCCAGGGCTGTCTTCTCTCTGAAACCCCTCGGGGAACGCAATTACAGTCAGCATACCATAACTCCTAACTCTATCATGTTCACCCCGGATTCCTTGAGCTCTGGACCTAATTACAGCTCGAACAGCCCATAGCTTTCCACAGGCATGCATATCCTCTTGCCCCATGCTCCACCCCACCAAGCCCCACTCCTGATCTCTGTGGCTGGCATGGCTATGCCCATATACCCAAGCCAGAGCCTAGAAGGCACAAACCCTCGTCTTTCCCTGGCACCTCACACTGACAAGTCAACCCGTGCTGTCATCAGCTTTCTAGATCACATTCTGGTCTGTTTGTGTCCCTGCTGTCACTGCCACAACTCTGCTGTCACCGGCATCACCCTTGAAACCGGTCTCCCTGAGTCCAGTCCGGTCCCCTCCACATGGCAATATAGTGATGCTGCTCAAAGTGTGGTCTGAGGAGCAGTCAGGTGAAAGATTACACAAATACAGAAATGGTGAAGAAGTACTTGATGCTTTTATGGCTCACATTTTTACTCTAGTTTGCAAAGGTATATTCTCTACAACAGAATTTAAAAAAAAACAAAAACTGGTCCTTCAACAGAGTTTGCAAAACGCCATTCTAGAACAGTCCTGGGCTCCAGTCTTTACAATGACTAACCCTGCTCCACAACACAGACCTGAAACCAACCCTTCAAGAGACCCCAAAGCTCCCAGGAGAATTCCTAAGTCCTTGGCAAGCCAGCCCTCCCTACTCTGCACCCTCACTTTGAGCCACTCTAAGAACCCCTCCTTCTCTGGGCTTCAGCCACCTTGAGCTCCTGTCCCCTCCACTCCCTAGTCCCTCCTAAGGCAGTTCCCTCTGCCTGAACACTTTTCTCTCTTCAGTTTCCATCTGGCTAACTCTATGCATTCTTCAATCACAGCTAGATATTACCTGCAGAAAACACTTCATGAGCCCCAATCTTCGCCTGCTAGAAGCACCCTTCCTTCCTGGGTTATGGCACCAAGTCCCAAGCAGCCCTGGATTTCTAACCCTACAGGGCAGGGTGAGTGAGCTCCCCTTGCAAGGGAAGCAGCTCTCACTCCTGGTCACTCCAGCCAAAGCACTGTCTCCCCCCCCCCCCCCCATACACACCTGGTTCATGGATTCGACCCCTTAACCCCAGGAACCCCCCCAAGCTGAGTCCCTCAGGCTCAATCCACTGATCTAATTCAGACCTTACCGTCAAATGCTCCTGTGCATTGCCTGCTGGCCTCACTGGTTCCAGCCTCCACTACTGCTCCCTCCAGCTTTGCCACATTGACCATACGAACCTGACCCATCACTCCTTTGTTTCAAACTCTCTCGTGACTTCACCCTTTCTGTAGCAGGGGTTTTAAACTGGTGTGCAGCGGCTACGAAGTAACTGCTCCAGGGACATGTAAGCACACACAACATTTTGCCTACAATTTCAGGAAGCTGATCTCCCTCACCCCCATCTCAAATATAACTATGCACAAGAACCCCTGAACTGAGGGTGAAAACCCCAACATTCCCCTGGCATTTCCACTCCAGACCAAATGCTTCCCTCCTCCACACATGTTCTGTGCTCCAGCCATGCTGGGCCTCTCATGATTTCTTCCATGGATACCCAAACACACCAAGCTTGTTCAAGCCACTGCACCTTAGCAGTTTCTTACAAATTCTTTATTGAACGTTACTGTGTACTATGTATTAGGGCACAAGAATGACCCCAAACAAAGTCTGGTGCTTGCAGTCCAGGGAACATTCAGCTTTCAATGCCCATCAACTTGAGCAATCCTCTACTTACTCAAATGTATTCAGAAGCTAGGTAATCATTACTGGACAAAACTGATGTAGGACCTTACAACCTGGAGGCTATTTGTTATTCAAAGGCCAGCTGTGATTTCTAACTCCATCTTAAATCCTGAGGGCAGGACCAGAATCCTGATGTCCAGCTCAGTGAACACTGTAAACCTCTGCAAAGAACTAACACCCAAAAGGACAATACTTTTTGATTTGGACTGCAAGCAACTGAAATGTACAAAAACCTTGCTGGACCCAGGAAGAGCCCACAAAGGGAGCTGAACAGTGGCTCAAAACAGAGTCCCAGTCCAGCCTCTATCACTTCCTTCCTGGAAAACACTGAAGCAATCACTAATTCTGCTGACCTCAGTCATCACGTTTGCAAAAACAATAGAAAAATCCCTGATCTCGAGCCCAGAAGGTGGATCCATAACCTCCTTCCCCATTACACTCGGACCCAGCAACCACTTGCTGCAGGCCTGGGAACAACGGAAGGGATCGTGAAGGCCTAGCTCCCACAATATGAAAGAGCATGCGACCCAAAAGAAGGCGGTTTGTGGCAGAGCCTGCACTGGTATCAGAGAAAGAAATCGCTCCAGGGTGCGACCAGAGAGCGGGAGAGGACTCACGCTGCTGCTGTTCCAGCGCTAGCTTGCACTTGTAGTAACTGTAGAAGTCGCCTCCGAACAGAAACGAGAATTTGGGGTTGTCCTTCTGCTTCTCCATCGTCATCTTCTCAAACTCGGGCCCGTTGCGAGCCACGAACTGGGCCAGTTTGTCGATGACATTTCGAAGCTCCTGGTCTGGAGAACGGAGAAAAGGCCACGCGGGGCGTCAGCGAGGACCGCCCAAATCCGGGGGCCCTGGCGCACCAGCCGCCGTCCGCCAGGTCGGGATCTCTAGGGGTGGGCCCCGCAGAGGCCGCCCTTGTACGGGTCCTGGTAGGGGCCACAAGCGCGCCGGGAATGCGGAGACCCGCGGGAGAGGCCGCAGGAGAACCCGGGAGGCCGAGCCCCGCCCCCTCCTAGGCCCGGGGACCTCAGGAGGCGGGGTAGGCCAACAGGGGGTCCGGGGGAGAGAGAAACGGTCCCTAAACTCGCGCTGGGCCTCACCGTCGGGTGGCAGCGGCATCTCCATGGCTCCTGCCGCCGGGAACGACCTCCGGTGCCTCTCGATCCCCCACCAGCGCCGTCTGTGGAAGCCGGCAGGAAGTGGCGCGAGGGAGCCGTTTACGGCGGGCCTCGTGGGCTGCTTCCGTCCGTCACTTACGGCCGTCGCCGGGAAACCCCGGAAGTGAGGGCGCGAGGCAGGCGGGAAGAAGCCGCGTGAGGCCAAGCGCGCGGGAGGGGCTCGCGGTGCGCAGACGCAGAGGCTCTTTTGCGCTTGCGCGGAGGGCCCTCTGTCTCCCGCCGCCCCAGAACCGCTGGGTCAGCCGTGCCGGCCGTTATCTGTGGCAGGGGCTCTTTGCTGGCTTCGTTGCAGCCCGGGGGCCCGGTGGGGCACGTTCTCCGCGGGGCCAGGGGACTGGGGCGTGCTTGTCTGGGTCAGGGCCTGTGTTGTATAGTCGGGGGAGCGGCAGTGAAGAGACTGCGAGGCGAGGTGAGTGCGGGAGGCTCCCAGGCCAGCCCCGCGGTGGACACAGAACCCGGAGTCGCCGGGCTCGGTGAGGATGGAATTGGGCTTAGTGAGATTCCAGAGACCCTCCCACTCGGTTTCTGTCGCCGCACCCAGCACTGCGGTAAGGAAGACTTTGCGGCGGGAACTTGCTCAGCCTGCGTGGCTTCCGCGTCGTGGAGCGCCCACGGCCGACCTCCGGCGACTCGCTTGCAGGACTGCCCGCCTTCCTGAAAGGAGCCGTGATGTAACTTCTAAAACGAGTGTGGACGTTAAGAGACGTCCAAACCTGTAGGGAATTTTTATGAGTTTATTTGCGCCAAACTGACAGTTGCGGGGGAGCAAAATCTCAAGGAATTGAGAAGGTGCTCTGGAGAATGGCAGCTGAGCAGCTGATTTTATACATTAAAAGAAAAGGAGGAGCGGCACAGAGGGTAACATGCAATCCCCTGGTGGTAGGTTAAGGGAGTTGGAGAAAACAAAGCGAGGAGATAATCTGGGACTGGATAAAAAGGCAAAATAGAGAAACAGGTACTTTTGCGTTCGTGGGTGCGGGATAGTTAACATGTACAGCACGTAGAGATGGTCTGCGGGGAACAAGGTAACATTGAGGGGTTCTTGCCCTGTGGGTCCGGGCAAGATTATCCTCACCTTTCTTTTCTTTTCTCTCTTTTCTTTTTTCTTTTCTTTTCTTTTCTTTTCTGTTCTTTTCTCTCTCTCTCTCTCTCTCTCTCTCTCTCTCTCTCTCTCTCTCTCTCTCTCTCTCTCTTTCCCTCTTTCCTTCTTCCCTCCCTCCCTTCCTTCCTTCCTTCTTTCCTTCCTTTCTTGTATGTTATCTTAGCCCTGGCCGGGTAGTTCAGTTGGTTGGAACATCGGCTGGTTCACCGAAAGATTGCGGGTTCGACTCCGCGTCAAGGCACATAACTAGTTTTCGGGTTCCATCCCGGGTCCAGGGCGTGTACAGGAGGCAACCAATCGCTCTTTCTCTCACATTGATGTTCCTCTCCTTCTCTCTCTAAAGATCAATAAAAGCATATCCTAGGGTGAGGTTTTTGTTTTTTTTTAAAAAGGTATGTTATCTTAGATGCAAAAAGGAAATTGGACAGGCTCATATAAAGTGAAGATTGACTTTTGACAAGGAAGCTACAGACAGGCCTGGGACATAACTACCTGCCATGACCTGCCTTTAGTTAGGAATTTTTATGTTCAGACTATCCAATGCGGTTACTTTCTGTCTGCTTGTAAGGCCTGCCATGCAGACCTCCCCTGAACTTGTCGGGTTTAGTATGTGGTCCCTTTTTCGATAAGAGGATGAAATTAATGCATGCTAATTGTGGGGAAAGATAAGCAGCAAACTAGAGCACACTGTGGACATCCCCTGATACTTAGTTGGCCATTTTATCTATGCAAATTGATGTACATTTTAGATATACTTTTCATTGCTACAAATGTCTCCTTTTGACACTGGGATTGCCTCCTGTATGCCAGAGGCCAGGGGTTGGCAAACTTCTATAAAGGGCCAGATTGCAAATATTTTAGGCTCTATGGGCCAAGAGGCAAAATTCAGGATATTATGTAGGTACTTTTTAAAAATGTATTTACTGCCCTAGCCAGTTTGGCTCAGTGGATAGAGCGTCAGCCTATGGACCAAAGGGTCCCGGGTTTGATTCCTATCAAGGGCACATACCTGGTTGCAGGCTCCTCCCTGGCCCAGGCCCTGGTCGGGGTTCATGCAGGAGGGAACCAATCGATGTGATTCTGTCACATTGATGTTTCTCTCTGTCTTTCCCTCTCTCTTCCACTCTCCCTAAAAAATCAATGGAAAAATATCCTCCGGTGAGGATTAACAACAACAACAAAAATGTATGTATTGATTTGAAAGAGAGAAACATCAATTTGTTGTTCCGCTAATTTATGCATTCATTGGTTGCTTCTTGTATGTGTCCTGACTAGGGATTGAACCCACAACTTTGGTATATCAGGGTGATGCTCTAACTGAGCTACCCAGCCAGGGCCTTTGTAGGTACTTTCATAACCCAAGAGAAAAATGTCCGTAACATTTTTATTGGTGGAAGTCAAAATGTAATCAGTGAGTACAGTTTTAAAAATACAGGTCTATTAATGAGAAGAATGAAATGCTTTTTGAGGTTCCAAGTTAGTCTTTCCTGTTACAAATTGACTAGAGGCCCGGTGCACGAAATTCGTACACTTGGGGTGGTGGTGGTGGTGGGTCCTTCAGCCTGGCCTGTGCCCTCTCACAGTCTGGGAGCCCTCAGGGGATGTCTGACTGACTTAGGCCTGCAAGGAGTCAGACATCCGTAGCACTGCAGCGGAGATGGGAGAGGCTCCCACCACCACTGCTGCGCTCAGCAGCCATGAGCCCAGCTTCTGGCTGAGCAGCGCTCCCCCTGTGGTCAGTGCGCGTCATAGCGACCAGTTGTTCCGCTGTCAGTCGATTTGCATATCAGCCTTTTATTATATAGGATTACAAATGTTCACCTGTAAAGACCAGTGTTGGTTTGCAAAAGTGGGGGCTGGTCCTGGCCTATTTGGCTCAGTGGACAGAGCATCGGCCCTCAGACTGAAGGGTCCCAGGTTTGATACCTGTCCAGGGTACATACCTCAGTGGTAGGCTCAGTCCCCAGTCCCTGGTGGGGGAGCGTGTAGGAAGCAACCAATTGATGTGTCTCTCTCACATCCATGTTTCTCCCCCACTTTATCTAAAAATCAATGGAAAAATATCCTTGGGTGAGGATTTTTTTTTTTAAAAGGGAGTGTGTTGCATGTGGCTTATGGATGAGCAAGTCAGACCTAAGCTCTGCTCTCAGGAGTCTACAGTCTATGGGGTGGGGGATGGGCAGCAGAAAGGCATAAATCAGTAAACATAAGACAGAGGTGTTACTAAGGAAAACAACTGGGCGCTGAGACCTTGATAAGGGAGGAGGGCAGGGCCTACATTGGTAAAGTTATCCAGTAACCAGATAGCTAGCTATGTGAACACTCCAGGCATAGGGTCACATTGTGGGATTTTTCTGTTTAGTATGATGCTTAGTAATCTGGATAGTGTAGGCATTTTCCCATGTTAGTAAAGATCTATATCAAGAAGTTTTAACTTGTGACCCACCATGGATAGACTTCAGAGATAGCACAGAATTTTTGTGAATTGAAGATACACAGCATTTGTCAGATTAATAGAATCTGTGAACCAAAACAGGTTGATGAATCTGTATTGTCATTTTTTAATGACTGCATATGACTCTGTGGTGTGGATTTACAATAATTGATTGAAGCTGTTACCGGGAAACTCCTGGTTGGGCTCGAGCTGCCTGTCACTGTGTCCAATAACGAAGGCAGGGTTGAATAATATTAGATGTTTATTGAGAAGGCCAGCCAACCAAGAAGACAGGGTGCTTACAAGCATCAAATCCTGCCTTCCAGCAAGATTCAGGGGACAGGATTATAAAGGAGAAGGGGCTGGGGTGAGGAATGCAGCTAGGTGCAGGCCTGGGGGTCCACAGACATCAGCTATTGTAATTGTAATTTGTCATCAGGCGATGAGATAATGATAAGATGTTTTGACTCCTAGTGGGTCAGGCCTGACCATGTTTATTGGTTCTACTTGCTGGATTCACAGCTGAGTCACCTCCCTGATCGCACAGGCCTTGAAAAGGAAACTTTAAGAAAACTTTAACCCCCTATTCACATATAAGAAACTTAACCCCCTATGCACATAAGTTTATGTGTTCTAAGATTTAAAATGATATTACTTTCCAGATTAATTCAGGTGCTCTATCAGGTTGTAAGCTGCCCCCCCCCCTCCCCCCCTCCATCAAAGCCAGACTATGGAGTCTTTTGGGTTGGTTCCATTTTTAGACCACTATTAAAAGTGTCTTAGTGTGTGTGTGTGTGTGTGTGTGTGTGTGTGTGTGTGTGTATATAAAACTTGTGTTTAACCTAAGGTAGTGCACATTTAATGCTCAATTGCCTCCCAGAAAGATTGTACATCCATGACTACTACTTTCATAATTCATTTCATATTGTTTAACCCTTTGCACTCTGCTGTCCCCTCTCAGGGGACATCGGAATTCTAGCATATCACTCGGATGTCCCCTCTCAGGGGACATTGCAGTTTATTAGTGATTACGGGGAATTGAGTTATTTCAATGCAACTTTTTGAGACATGCATGTTTCCCTGAAGTTTTATCTTGAAATGGCACAAGAAATTAAATCAAAATATCGTAAAATTACTAAGATATATACAAGAAATGTCAGCGGGTTTTGTGTCGGATTAGACAATAAACTACATATTCCCGATGTGGGACAAAGAAAACGGGACTGCATTGTGTGTTCTAACAGGAAAACACCTGGTGGCAGGCGTCAAACCACTTATTACTGTCAAACATGCACTAATCAGCCTGCAATGCATATTGGGGAGTGTTACAAAACTTATCATACTGTACAAAATTATAAACAATTAAATATTTTTTTTTTTGCAAATATACATTCCTCGATGTCACCCAATTCATATAAGTCCAATATCATTATAATACGTTACTTGGTTCCAAAATTATACTAAATAATACGAGGGTCTGTAAATGCACGTTTCCGCCGCAAAGTAGCGTCGAGTAGCTGGTAGCCAATGTCCAGAATGGTTCGGAGTGCAAAGGGTTAAAGTGCATTTATCCGAGACTGAAAATTTAAGCATCACAGGGCATCACCTAGGCCCGTGGTCGGCAAACTGCGATGCGGCTCTTTGGCCCCTTGAGTGTGGCTCTTCCTAAGCCTTAGGAGTACCCTAATTTAAGTTAATAACAATGTACCTACCTATATAGTTTAAGTTTAAAAAATTTGGCTCTTAAAAGAAATTTCAATTGTTGTACTGTTTTGATATTTGGCTCTGTTGACTAATGAGTTTGCCGACCACTGACCTAGGCTCATTTCAGTGGGCTAATCTAAATCCACCGGTCAGAAGAAAACAGTAGAGTTGCCAGACCATGCAGAGATGGTCTCCAGGAACTTGGAAACAAGACTTAAGTAAACAAACTATACACACCCCTGGGTGAGATGAACTTGCGGAAGTGACTTACCTAAGAAGCAAAATGGAGATAAGTTTAAAACCACATGCATTCCGCTTGCTTTGGTCCTGCAAATATGCCGTGAAAATGTATTCCATGTCAGAAGTGTGTGCTATATTGTGCACTGCAAACTTATCCAAGGGCTTAATTGTAGCACATTCCCAATAATGAAACGCTACACTATGTACATAGACACACAGAATCAAGAAAGAATATTTAATAATATGGGGAAATGTTTCTGGCATATTTTTTAAAAGCATATAACAAAATAATATGCACAATATGCCAGTTTTTTAAAAAATGTGTACATATCCTCCCCTTCCCCAGATGCAACTGCTCTGTTCAGTTTCTTATGTATCTTCAGAGAGAAACTATTCATAAACATGTGTCTCAATACGTTTTGGAAATTGTTCCTTCTATCCATAGATCCTTCTCATTAAAAAAAAGTTTTTATGGATTTTAGAGAGGGAGAGGAATAGATAGAAACATTGATCGCCTCCTGCATGCCCCCTACTGGGGATTTAGCCTGCAGTCTGGGCATGTGCCCTGACCCATAATCAAACCTGTAACCTCTTGGTGCATGGGTTGACACTCAACCACTGAGCCACACAGGCCAGGCTTTCTCA